AGCATACCATCTTATTTACAAAGAAACTTTTTATATTTCGTTTACAATATCACACATGCAATGCTTATCTATAGAAACTCTACACTAATCCATGTTATTTAAAAATATATATCTCTATCAGTAATATTACTAGCAAAAACTAATCTGATCAGTATATATAGATAGGTAGATACAGTGAGAAGGAGAGTCGAGATAGAAAAATAAGAAGAGATCTCCATCCTTATCACTTTTAATCTCATGCCCATGAATTGCATTTTAGAAAGGAGTTAATGTGATGTATATCGGTGCATTTCATTAGTGTTGATCTTTAATTAGGATTGATTAGATGGAGATTCTTTCTTACCCTTTCATCATAACTTTCATTCCCACCGTAACCCCTAAGACACTCTCTCTCTCTCTCTCTCTCTCTCTCTATATATATATATATATATAATTCAATTGATAATAAACTATAAATGAAACTGCATGGCATGCACCTGTATCTTTCATCCATCTTTTAGATGTTGCTATAACATGATCCCATGCGATATCTGTCTCGTATCTTTCACCTTTATCTTCCAATGCTCATCTGGAAACCCTGCTCTCTTGGCTATCCCTCTCCACTTTCTTATCCGACTATCCATTTGTTTCGTCAACCCGCAGAACGGCCTCAGTTTATTCGGCATTCCCTGATAAACTTTCCACCATTTCTCATGAGCTAAATCACTAGCAAAATGTCGATGGTCACCCCTATCCCAGTTACAATCATAGTCTTTATAACACATCCATGGCTTCAACCCCAGATAATGAATTGTGTGCAAATCTCCTGCGATTTCATGTCTAGGGTTATTACTCTTATCTTGGAAAATCTTGAGATGGTTTATCTTCGAATGAAACCGATGCCACCATGTAAAAGCTTCGTTCAGAAAACCCTGATCACCACCATTATATGATCCCAAAGTGTTTATCTTTTCCATCAACCCATTGAACATGCACAGTGATGGTTCCACCAAAATCACACCAGAATTGAATAGATATTTATTGTTGCCAGCAGCCGAAATCTGGGGATAACTAAAGAACTCGTCTAGATTCTTTAACACGATTAGATCTGCGTCTATGAACATAACTTTGTCATACTCGATGAGCTGCCATATCCGAAGTTTGCTGTAGTTATACTCGTTATATGCGCCTTTTCTTGCATGTGGGCTTCGTATACGTTCAATAAGCTTGATCTTCCATCCGGCTGTCTTAAGTCCTCCAAGGGCTTTGTCGGATATCGAGTCATCAGCAAGCAAGATTAGATCCTTGGTTGTGTTTGTTTGAAGGATGCTTTGGGCCAAAGCGATTGCGCCACAAACGTATGTTTCGGAGGAGTGCAAGACGGTCACGTACGCCTCTCTTGGTTTGTATGCAATCGATGTCGATCGAGCATCAGTTCTACCAGGCTCTTGACCTGAAAACCAAGACATGGTTTGTAATTACAAGGTCTCAACATGGTCTAACTTTAGGTTTTGGGTTAGGTTGATATTGATTATGGGTTTGAGTCCTTTAATGCTAACGAAGATTTATTTAACTTTTAAGGGGTGTTTGGTTCCTATAATGGAAATTGATGGAATTGGAATTAATCAAAGGAATTTGACTTTGAAAAATTTGGAATGAAATTTGACTACGTACTTGGTTGGTAAGAATTGGAATGGAATCTTTCAAAAAATTGGAAACGCCAATCTTTTTTTCGGAGGGTGGGTGCATAGGGGACATTTATGACATGGTGATGTATATTGGTGGTCGCAGGTGGGGTAAGGATGGCAGCATAGTGGTATTGGTGGGGTACCCAACCCACCCTCGGCCCCACCCACCCGTCCTCCCTGCCCATCCCCAACCACCACCATGCTCTTAGCCCCTCCACCACCCACCCCCAACCCTATTGCCCCTGCATATCCCAACCTTGCCTCCTTCGCCCCAACTATGGGTGTGTGGTTGGGGTTGTTGGGGCAGGCTGTCCTGGTCCCCTCGCCATATCCACTCCCCCATCACCTCTCGTGCCCTACCGACCAGTCCACATGGGTGTGGGGGATGTCCCCACCACCACCAACCACCCACTTAGGTTAGTGGTGGTGAGAAATGGGTAGGGTGGTAGCTATAACAATGATAGTAATAGCATGGTGGTCGGATGGCGAGTCGAGTATATGTTGGTGGGTGACAAGATGGGAGTGGCAACTGCGATGATAATTAACAATAGTGGCATAGTGGTGAGTTGGGGGTTGAGGTAGGTGAGGCTAGGTGACGGTTGTGCCGACGACTATAACGGTAGGTTATTTAGGGTAGGGGTGTGATAGTGACAATAGTAGCATTGTCATGGTAGGGGCAGGGGTGGGTAGTGTTGGTTAAATTGAATGTGGTTAAATTGAATGCAAAAGGATGAAATTCAATTATTTCACTTATATCAAGGTATCATGAATTCATTAATTTATGGAATTCAAAAGATTTCTACAATTCAAATATGTGAACCAAACGAATGAATTAGAACTTGGTCAAAAAAAATTGTCATTCTGATTCCTCAAATTCCTTTGAATTTTGCAAACCAAACAATTCTAAGGGGGCGTTTGGTTCGCAGAATGGAATTCAATGCAATCAAAAGAATTTAACTTTGAAGGAATTTGACCATATGTTTGATTGGATGGAATTGTAATCTTTGAGATATCCCATGGAATGGTGAAATCTTTAATCAAAAGAATTCAAATATTTCTACATTTCAATATGTGAATCAAATAAATGAGTTAGAATTATTTGATCGAATGAGTTAATTGACGGGTCCCTTGAAATCTTTTGAACTAAATGAAACAAACAACCTATTAATTAATTCCGTTAGAATTAGTCGATGTACAAACAAGTTGCCCAGAAAATCCGTGACTATAAAAAAGCAGCCCAGAATTCATTTGTTACAACATTATACGTCAAGAAGGCAGCCTTGAAACCAATTTTATCACCGGTAATGAATTGGTCCATGATTTATAAATGGATTCTATTTAATTTATTGAGTTATTAAAAAAAGATTATAAAAATTGTCGATTTCATGAAAATATAAAACGTGTTGATAACTAAAATACGTACAGCTAATAAAGTTAAACATCAATAATTCGTTAAATACTATACAAAAAGGATACTTTTATTTGTTAAATAATATTTTTCATAGTATTTGTACCAAGTCGGTCAAGATAATACACTTTGACTTTTAATATCCAAAAATGGTATGTTTTCCAAAAATTAAAACTCCAAGTTGTTGTTTTAATTTATTGTAATTATTTATCGTTTTATAAGATGACTATCGTAAACGTTCATGATCCCTCCCTTAAACACCTCTTAAAACTTAAAAGAAAGAATCGTTTTTTGTCTTTTATCTTATCAAAATTGATATTATGATTTTGGTCCCTATAACTAAAAACCCAAAAATATCTCTTAATTATCAGAATTTTTTAACAGCTATTAAATGGTCGTCTTGTAATTTCAAAATTATAAGTATTATTTTGTAGTTTGCTCTAAATACAAGTATAAAAAATAACATATTAAAAAAGAAATTGTTTTGAAAAGACGTGACATCCGTACCTAATAACTTGTAATTTAATGTTGTTCAGTATTTGGTTTCGATGATACTTTTTTTTCAATAACTTAACTAATACTTATATCGATGTCACGTCAGTAAAACCTAATTATAATCAGCATTTACAGATAAAAAAAAATACACAAAATAAAATTATTATTTTTTTTTTGTTAAAATGATTCTTTTAAAAGAGTATTCAACTTTATCACGGTTTTTGGAGTGTTGATGTATTGTAATTGAATGCAATTTCTTATTTCTTTAATAACAATTAAAGTGAAAACTAATAATCCCAAGAAAAGTCAACATTTTATACCTGTGTTGTGTATACGTAATTAACCATAGACTTTTAAATATATTAATGAATATGATTTATTAAAGTTTACGGATTTCGTCCTTGTGATTTTTGAAATTTCAATTTCATCCTTATGATTTGCAATTTAAGGACTAAAATAAAAATAAATCTAAATTATAAGGACCAAAAAATAATAAATTTTAAATAATAGACACCAAAAAAAATAGAAAATTTTCAATAACAAAATAAATAATCAGATTTTTTTTGGCATAAATATATTTTTAAATGAAATTTAAAGTAGAAAAAGACATAATATTCGAAAAAGATAATACAGTCTCATTCAATTTTATTTTTGGAAATATATATAATTTTAAAAATCGTGGATTTAATTATTTATAGTTTGGAAAATATCTATTTTGATTAAACTTGATATGTTTTTCAAAGTATGTCTCTCTAATAGGGTGTTTGGGATTGCTTATAAAAACAGCTTATTGACTTATTTTGGTGTGTCACTAGTAATAAGTATTTTTGAGTATTTGGATAAACAATTTATGTCGGTGTCAAACCAGTAATAATGAGTTTTTGAAGAAGTTAAACTCTTGTGACTTATAAGAAGTTGATAAGTGTTTTTGTAAAAAAAAACATAAGTTATTTCAAATAAACAATCTCAAACACCTCCTAAATTATAAAGTAACCATATGTTCTTCAGAATATAATGGGAATTAAATTTTTTAAACAACTTAAATGATATGTTTGATAAAAACAAGTTATAATGGAATTAAATTTTTTAAACAACTTAAATGATATGTTTGATAAAAACAAGTTATAATGTATAGAGGGAGTTTTAATATGCATTTGTTACAAACTCTATAAACCAATTGTTTCAATCATCTCTATAGATTATCAATATGGTGTAGATTGACTCAGTTTCCTAAATTTAATTTCTATATTAATTAATTTGTTTTAAATTCAGAATGAACAAAATCAAGGGCTAAGATTTTGATTAAAGGATCTGTAACAATTATATATGGTTTGTATTTAAAATTTCCTCTATCTGTATCTATATTTATATATATAGAGGAGTAAGATCTTTTGTTAATCAAGAACATGATGTTCATTTTGTAAACTTACTTTGTAAACTTATTGGATCAATAATATTAATTATTTAATAGAGGTTACATCAAATGTTTGATTTAATGATAAAGAACAAATAGGTAATTTTTATGTGTAAGTTACTTTTATGGTATTTAATAAGATGTTACAAATTTTTATGTTCAAGTTATTTTTATGGTATTTAATGATGTTCATAGGTGTTCATAAGAATGTGTTCATAATATAAGGTATTCATAAGAATGTTATGATATATGTTCATAAGAATGTGTGCATAACCATAAGGAGTTCATAAAATTGTCTTCATAACCATATGATGTTCATAGGTGTTCAATATAATTTAATGAACACAATCACAATATGTTCATAATTGAACTCATGTTCATATAGAAAGAGATGCTCATGTGTATATTAATGTCCATGATAATAGAGATTTTTTTTATTAATGACAATAGATTAATGTTCATATGAATATTAATGTCATTAATAGGCAGTTACAAACTTTATAATTCTTTTTCCAATAATACTCTTGTTCATGTATGTTAATCTTAGATGATAATGTATTATATTATTAGTTATTACAAAATTGTCATCATAATTGTCATCCATCGATTCACAAGATGAGTGTTTGTGATGAGTTTACAAAGTTAAGTTAATATCATAAATTAGGTTAACAAAAGAACTTACCCATATATATATTATATATATATATATATATATAGTTTGTTCCAAACGCAACTCATCACATTTGTACAACCAATACAATCCAATAAATTGAAATATTTATAAAAATGATTAAAGTTCATTTATTATAATTTAAATATTTATGGAAGATGAATAAGGTTCATTAATTATGATCAATATTTTATATTATGAAATAAAATCAAAACTTTAATGAAATTACATATTCATCAAAATAAATGAACGGTTGAGATTGAGTTGTATTGGTTGTACAAATATAGGGGTTGTATAACCCACCTATATATATATATGTGTGTGTACATGGTGTTCATGTAGGTTTAAGTTTATGTAAAAAATCAAAATTTTATAGATAGCATGGGAATTACTGGAGTTTCATGTAACTTAATTAGCACATTTTATAAGTTTTTTTTTTTTTTTGTTTTTTTTTTTGTAAGGGTGTCCGGGCCAAAGCCCGACTAATCCCCGGCAAATTTGGAGGCTAAACATGGCCCCACTTAAATGTCGCCAACACTCCCCTCCCAGGGCTCGAACTCGGGTTCATGACTATGTCATGCCCAAGCCTTTACCACTAGGCTGGAAGGTCTTTGACCACATTTTATAAGTTGATGTTAATATATTTTTAAGTAACATATATATATATATATATATATATATGTGTGTGTGTGTGTGTGTGTTAGACGAAGTATCGTGTGGCAAGTAGAGTTAAGTTGAGAAGCGTAAAAAATGATCCGGATCCTTGATCACCTTTAATCTCAAACTCATCCATGATCATGTTTGATACGGGGATTGATATGGACATCTCGTTGCATCTCATCCTAATATGCATCCAAATGTGGCGATCCATTCTTACGCTTCTCACCAGAACCCAACGAGATGTTAACATACTCATGTTAATTACATGTATTAACATTTCAATACTAATTAATCTCCATGCATGTATGTATGATGTATGCATGTATGTATGTATGTATTCATGTATGCATAAAAGTACAAGATTAATCCACTTGAAACCAATGAATGAATCATGACATACGTACCAGCTGGTTGCAAAGATGGTGATGGATTAATGATGCAAGAGCCAACAGGCATATTCACCTTCTCCATGAGTTTCTTCAAATCTGGTTTATATATCTTATACTCCCCTTCTTCCCACACCATATCATCACACCTAAATATCTCCCACATTGGCCCTGACCTTCCAATAAACACCACATAAACTTCCCCACCATCTTCCCACCCATCATTCACCAACACATTAGCCACCACCAAGTTCACCTGCAACCTACCCACTTCTCGACCACCCTCCGGGACCTTAGCCACCACCACATCCACCGCCCCAGACCACCGACCCATCGGGATTTCCGGGCACTTCATCGGCCCCCACTTATGGTCCTCATCCACCCACTCCGGGAACAAGTCTTTCCATTTCGTATCTCTGCCCACTTTTTCAAACGTTATTTCTGTCAAATCAGCCGACCCATCAACTCGTATCTCGTCGGATTGAACGTTAACCAGGCCGAGGTGTAGCTTTCTTGAATGGTTGTTCATTAGGGATTGGAGTTTGTCGTACCAACGTGGCCGTGGTGGTTTCATGGGTACGAAACGGAGGGTGGTGGAGGTGATAGGGCGGTCATCGGGGTGGAGATCGTAGGTGGTGGTGTGGATTAGAAGCGTAAGGGTGAGACAAAGGAGGAGAAGGAAGAGAGGGATGAAGGTAGGCTTTTGGTTTGAGAAGGAAGGCCTTGAAGTTGAACCCATGCTCACACGTCTCTCTACCTTTGAATTGTATATTTTGCTGGTCATGTTATGTATGTATATAGATATATGAATGGTTGATGGAGGCACGTTGGTCGTTTTCATATAATAGAATTTGGAGCCAATAAACAAACCAATTTTTAAACTTACTAAATAATAATTAATAAATAATTTATGGATTTTGTCCCTCTATTTTTGTTTTAAAATAAAATGAATTTGACATTGAAATGATTAGTATTATTGGTCATTTTTTGAAACTTTGTTTAAAGAATTATGTTAAATCATATAACTAGGGACATTTTTGTTATTTTTTCACCTAACTATGTGATTTTCTCATAATTCACATATATACTAACTAATACAGTAAATTATGGATTCGGGTCTCCTGTCGTATTAAAATTGTCTTGGATTTGGTTTCTATAGATTTTTTTTTCCTAAAATAGCCCCTAAATTTTTTGATTTTGTGTAACACAACTGACAACAACTAAAATGCTCCTTCAAATCAAGGGCATTTTGGTCATTCGTCTACTTTTTTCTTATTTTTAATTACAATCAAATAGAAAACATTATATATATATATATATATATGAGATCATGTGAGACAAAGATGTTCTCGTGAGACAAGTTTTTTACACTTGAAACTTCACACCAAAGTAACCTTGTCTTTACTGTGAAAGTTCGGATTTTTTTTACCTTGACAACATTTTATGGTGAAGTTTCAAATGTAAAAAACTTGTTTTACGTTAACCCAACTACATATCAAACTGTGAAATTATAGCAAAAGTGTGTCAAACAAGTTTCTTGAGTTTAAGTTGCCAGCACGTAATACTGATACATTAAACAAAAGGTTGCTTTGTTATAAATAGATATGAATAAGAAATGTCAACTAATACGAATTACCTTTAATACAATAATTAAATTGATGACATTTTTTCAATGCTTTCGTAATTCAATTTAAGAGCGGTTGGTACGTTGAATAATCTGTTTATTATTTTATAAAATATAACCTTTGAGTTGTCACTCGATTCAACATATTTTAAATACACTTTAAAGCGTAGAAAAAATTCGATCAAAATTGATGTTATAAACAATCTGCAATGATGGATGCTAGACAGATATCCTAAAATTACATAATTATTATACATTTTAGCTAATCAAATGACAACTTTATCCTTAATTAATTTATCTCTTAAACATTTATGCGTTAATAAGGGTAAATTTAAGAATTTAGTTATTTATTTATAAAACTAGACACTTATTTTAGAACAAACATAAATAAAACTAGACACTTTTAATAAATGTAACGAAATAATGTAACAACTTTTGGTACCATTTCCAGAAAGTACCGAAAGAACATTTGCAAAAACGAAAATATAAAAACAGTTATGGTCTAAATGGAGTCGTTCTAGCAAGCAGTAGAAGTTGTTCTTTTCTACATTTCCTTCATGTTTCTTGATCATAAAAAGGGAAGGGCCTTCCATGGCAACTTCTCAAGAGAAACAAACAGACAAAATACACCATATAAGCCAGCCCAAACAGATTAAAAAGTTTTTGCTCCCTAGAGGTCATCACTTCAGCCAAGGCCATACAACGATGTTTACCGGAAAAAAACGTGATCAGAAATGTGACGGCTTCAAAAGACCTGCGAAAAAAGATACAAAAGGGCCCATCATACCAAAGGCCCTTTAGCCCAGGTAAACCAACCTTTTTGGAAGTCTAAAAGTTCCAACCTCACCAAAAAAATGCAAAGTTTCATTTGCCGTTGTATAAATATTATATACTTAAAACAGATCGAACATGGTTTCAGGCAAAAGAAAAATACTTGGCCTACAAACTTGTTTATCTTTGAAAAACGCTTTAGCACCTGGTGCAACAGGACAATCTATTTTCTATGTACATAATTAACAACAGTTGCAACGGTTTTCAGATATTCCGTTCATGTGGTTCAAGCCATGGAAATCCCAGGAAGTCGAATACTTCCTTTTCCGAGTTAAACTTCAAACTTGTACTGGCACTAACCTGCATCACATCCAGATGGAGGGAGGTACCACTTATCATATCAAAAATCAAACAGAATAAAACCAACCTTAGTTTTGTAATGTAATGTATTACCCTTTTTCCACCGGAACCATGAGTTGCAGGGAACAACCCTGTATCATCAAGTCGGAATCCTTTGGATTCTGCAAGTATCCTCAGCCTGTATTATGTTTTCCAAAAGAACCAAATTGATAATAAATATCGAGACTTTCCTCATGAAATGTAAAGCACAGTGCAAACAGATGCCCAAAACAGCCATTTATATAAACAACAATAGGTTGTATTTAGATTACTTCCTAAAATGAGCAATTTCATCATCGATAAATGATAGCCTATTGTGTGAAAAGAAAATGATCATCACCGTTCAAACAATGTTGAAGAGCTTCCACATAGCCTTGCATGCATACAACTATTATAAAACTGAAATTCTTGAATGCACAATAAGACTACTGTACTCTAGACATACAAGTTTACATGTATAACAATATGAAGGGAAATAGGAACATAAAATGACAAAGTCAACTTGATCAAATTTATTGTTCAAAATTTGTCTTGGTGATGACTTAGTTGCGATTAAAGTTTTCATACTTATTTATGTATTTTATTGAAATTTAATTAAAAAAATTATTATGTTCAATAAATATAAAATCTCTTCAATTATTCATTTTCTCTTGAAAACCATCACGATAGACATTTTCGACATCCAACTCATGGAGATGTGAGTGATGAACAGCCAAAAAAGAATTTATCGAAAGGAAAGGATGGCTCAATTTGCATTGACAAGTGTAGACCTGAGTAATTAGAGGTAAGAAGGCATGCCGTGAAGTATCTCAAGACTACCTCAAACAGGATTTCGTATATAACATAAAAAAGAAAAGAGATAGGGGAGAAATTAAAATATAGTCAAAGGGACTACAAGATCCACACTCCTTTACATGCATGTAATTAATACGTATGCACTTTAAGGATCTAAGACTCCAGAACTGAAATCATGGACAAAATTTTACGCAAAACATGGGACATGGAACACACTGTAAATGCGAATAAACCATGAAGAACTTGATGATGTGCCAAAGCTTCTAAGAAGATTAATGGGAAATACTTTTTGAGTTATTAGTACACAGTTTTAATTAAAAAATTGATGATCTTGCTGCGTGAGAATCAGGTCTGATATTCTGTTTTGAGATGCACCAAAATTGACAAAATATGAAAAAGTAACAATTCACTCCTTGCTTTTCACAGGTAAACTTAAGTTGATTGAAAAAACATCCACAAATGCTACAAAGTACCTAGAACCGATAACAGAACTAACAAAACAATTTCCCACCAGATTCAAATAAATCAAATTGAAAAAATAATTGGTATGACCAAACACCTAGTAGGAGAACAGGAAACATGTGTTTATTCTTCTAACTGACATGACTTAGAAAAATCAGAAGTACACAAGAACTCCAATCAAGGTTCTTTAAGAAGAGAATGAAGCCAAAACTGGCAATGAACTCAGATCTCGTACAATCCCCAACACTCGAAACCTATGCCAATAAATCAGTGTGCTGTCAACTCTTGAAAAATGATCAAAGGAAAAGTTCCTCAGCAGCTAAGATTGTTGTTGGTGGCTTTGTACGTTCTAAGAAATAGAAAAGTACGAAAAAGTAGAAAGGGAAGACTTTGGTTATATTCATACATACAAACTAAACTGCTAATAAACATGAGGAAACATCACTAACGTATCAAAGGAGTACAAAAGGTCATGTGATCGATGTCACGAAATCAATAACCTAGGATGCAGAAAATGCGGAGGAAGGAGAAAGAGTTACCTAATGGGTGTTGTGTTATGGGACAATGAGATCTAGAAAATCCTCCTTGTTGTGAGGCCATGCAGGAATCAATCGGTGCCGATTTCTTCTTCATGATTTGTCAAAGAGGTAGTTCGATTGCATGGTTTCCCAACAACCATAGTCTCGGATCGTGAAAAAGCTTTCATGAGCAATTTCTGGCGGGAATTATTTCGTTTGAGTGGCACTACACTTCTCCGTAGTACGGTGTACCATCCTCAAAACTGACGGGCAATCGGAAATCATCAACGAAGTCTTGGAAACTAAGAGTCGCGTCCTACAATTAGAAAATTTGGACAATGCCACTTAGGATCGTTGATAATTACTGGTCAGCTGTAAGCACAGCCTTCTCAAAAGATGGATCCTGTGCTTGTTCATAATTGGGTATTTGTGTGAGTGTTCGAATGGCAAACAAAGTTGTTATGCATGTTGTGTATTTATCATTGTGCATGTGAGTATGAAAGAGAGAGTGAGAGAGAGAGGGTGGAGACTTGGTAGAGGCGGTTGGGGCTTAGATTTTATGTCAATGATGGTAGGCAATGATGGAGGAGGGAAGCTTAGGTGGTGGTGGGGGGATAAGGATCTTTGCTGGTTGTTGTGAAGATAAATATATGATCCTGTTAGGTTTTGTTTTTTGCCTTCTTTGACAAGTCCAATATTCGACCAACGAGTTGAAGTTTGAGATTTGGCTCCTCAAATTGGTTTTTAGAACAATTGCCACAATAATATTTGGCAAATTGAGCTTTAACCATTTTGTGTTCTAATATTTTGTATTTTGACGCTTTAATTGGTAAGAACTACTATGCCCTTCCAAGCAAAAGTTTTCAAAAGGTGAAACATCAAGGAGTTGTTGCCATTTACAGCAAGAATGTTATAGGAATCTACATTTTGCCAAAATTCAATCGGGCCAGGTCATTTTGTAAGAGTCTCATTTATAGCCCTTTTGAGGAGCTCTCTACGTTGTCTAACTCTCTATTACCATATGTAGAGGGAGACCACCCAACTCTGGAATTAGTGTCATTTACACCAAATCCAATCCAAATGGCATTTGGGAAATGGTGAAGTAATCATTATGCTATTCAATTTGGTTTTAAATTTAAAATTCACTAAAGGAAAATTATTCTAAAGTTCAGGGGTATTTCCAGCCAACCTTATAAGCTTAATTAAATTAAATTTTGAATTTTAAAATCTGGTATCGTGCATCAAAGACTTGTATCACATGGTACAAACTCATCAGGCCCACCCACCACGCTGCGGGTTGTCGTCTTCCCTTCCCTATGGCTGTCGCCATTGGCAACCCCAACCCTCTGTTGTCATTGCCATCTACTCCCTCCTTCCCCCACCCCATTCTGTCTATTCAAAAAAAAAAAAAAATCTTTTATTGTTTTGACCACTATACAAGCTATGTTGTTACAACGATCAAAATTTGAAATAGCGGTCAGGACAATATGATATAGCGGTTATCGCGATGGTAAAGTGGTAGTATAACGGTCCACATATAGAAGTTCATGTAATCATTATAAATGTATGAATAGATGCATAACATAATATAAATTTTGAAGATGAAAATAAGAACAGGTTAATAGAAGAGATGGGCAATCAATGTTGGAAGACAATGTTGTTGTTGTTGGATGTAATTCTAACTTAGTCAAGTTGGTGACCAAGTCTTTAGGGGTGGCATCATGGACGTAGTGGAGTCCAGATTTTTTAGGCAAATAAGTTGGCACCGGACATATTCCTTTGTCAGAAGTAGGATATAATAGGCTTTTTTCTCTCTTTTTGTGAGGCAAGTTTTTCTTTGATCAGAAATCAAAAAGCAAAGCATTTAGCCCCACCTATGTTCTTTTTTCCTATTCTTGTGTAGAAGTGTGTGTGCTAACTCAAGCGTGCAGATCCTTCAGTCAGTTTCTCAACACTTGGTATCAGAGCCAAGTTGTTCATGCCCAAGTATCTGTGATAACTGGATATTGGTTATCACTTGAGGTAATTATTATATGATTATTTTAGGTATGATTACATGAATATATATGATTAATTGTTATAAATAATAATCTGGATACATGCTTACATGAGATTAATATGTGAGAATGTGTATATTTTTATTTTTATACATGGAAATGTATGCATGTTTAAGGTGTATGCATATGTAATGTAAATATATGGATTTCTTCTATATGTATATGCATGCATATGAGGGTTATGATGGATAACCGGCTTTCCATTTTTGGAAAGGTATAAATAGGGAGTATGGGGGGAAGGGCAAACTTTCTTGCCTTTCTTAGAAAGAATTGAGAGAAAACTCTGAGAGAATTGCTTGCATTATTGCTAACTGAACTTGAACCTATTCTGATTCGTGTTGCTGTTTTCCTTTCAAAATCTGAATCTACAAAGGTGAGTGTTTATCAAAACAACCTTTGAATATGATTTGATTACTGGTTTATAGCTTTGATATGATGATATATTGAAAATACTGCATTGTTCTTGTTCATCTTCATTGTCCGATTTTGGTATATCCATCGATCACTTTGTTGACCGAATTAGACATGTCCGGACACTGTGTTGTCCGAATTAGTGTAAGTGCGATTATTAAAGTTTGTGTCCGGACATAGTGTTGTCCAGTAAGGGCTTACCCGGTCACTAAGTTGACCGATGAGAAATATATGTTCGGAGACTTCTCCGGTCACCCTATTGACTTATGGGATTTTTTAGCCGGACATTAGGCTACCCGATAAAATCATACATGGTTGTGATGTCTAGAGAAGGTATGTCCGGATAGGCTGTCTGTCTTAAATGAATTATGTTGTCCAGATAGAGTGTCCGGCTAAGTTGTCTGGACATGTGTTGACCGGATATGTTTGTCCGGACACAAGCTGTTCGTACAGTTGATTGATTGAACTTGAGTTTTTGACATTGGGATTCTTCGCAACTAACATTTAATTGGTTTTAAAACTGTTATATTGTGAAAAGAGATATTTCATATCTTTTAAAGTGGAAAAGATAATGTTTCTACCAGACGTGATTACGTAAGTCTGTTCTGGTTAGAAACTATATTTTGGGAAATGTTTCTACCAGACGTGGTGACGTAAGTCTGTTCTGGAATGAAACTTTGTTTTAAGAGGTAGTTCCCCCAGACGTGGTGACATTTGTCTGTTCTGGCTTGGAACTGGTTGTTGGGTACTTCCGGACGTGGTGACGTAAGTCTGTTCTCGTCAATAGAGCCAGAGGCTCTGGTTGTCTAGGGCAAAGAAGCTCTGGCCCGTTGAGCTAGAAGAGCTCTAGCCCACTAAGCCAGAAGAGTTTATGGCAACACTATTAAAGGATCAAG